AGGACGTCGAATGTTCGTTGCGAGCTGATAGGCACCCCGTATGGACCTGCCTTGGGCGCCCCTGTAGATCGGGTTGCCCTGTCCAAAGGCAGAGTGCTCACCCGTTTGGCGCCTAGGGTCGTTGTAGGCGAGCAGCTGGCCCCCTCGTCGAGCGGCATGCTCTGATGGGGCTGCCTGCCCCCATTCACGTGGGGGCCGTCCTTGGGGGTGCGGATCGCCCCTAAGACGCGGATGTGAGCGAGACCTCCTGGCCCGTTCATCGGATGATGCTGCTGACGTAGCCTGCGCAGGAGCTGACGGGGTTCCTGGGTAGGCGTAGGCAGCGCATCCTGGGCAGGCAGGTCCCCCTGCTGACTGGAGTCTGGCATGATTGGCTCTTGTGCGGATGGTTGTGCGTCAGGGCTGTCTGGGTCGAAGTCCACCTCCTCGTCTTCGCCATAGATGTCCACCATGAGGATGGTGGCCTCGTCCTCGCCCAACCCACATCCGTCATCATCTTCAACTTCTAAAGTAGGATTGCCAATGACAATGGTCATTGGCCCAGCCGGGGCGGGCAGGTTTCCCTGCTGTAGAGGCGTCTGAGCACCGCTAGGCAGCCCCGGCGTCGGCGGCGCGGTGGTCGGCTCAGGCTCGTTGCCGAGCACGGCGCGCGCCTCAGGCTGAGCGTAGTCATAGGGGGGCTCCCCGATGGCGTTTCGCATGGCCGTATGGTTGGGCTGTAGTCCCACCGCCTGGAGACCCCATCCCGGCCGAGGAAGCGCCTGTCCACGCATTGTGATAGCCCTCTCAAGGGCTTGGCGCCGACGCCCCTTTGCATGCCATGCCGTGCGTGTCGCTGCACGTCGTCAGGGAGCACGCTGTAGATGAGAGTGAGGGCCGCCAGCAGCAATTCCGAGTCGTCACAGACATCGGAGTCTGCAGCATCATGTGGCCGCTCTCAACGCTCTGTTGACTATCAGGATACTCTTCAGCTTGAGCAGCGTGCATATGCACGAGGGTCTGCAGCACCGTATGGTCCGTACTCGCCCGGCGCGAGCAGACCAGGAGGCTTGCGAAGATTGCCTGAAACGCCCACGGTGAAGGCATGAGCCTCCAATTCCATCAATTCGCAATAATTCGGCGGATACACTGGAGTAGGCCTGTTTCCAGGCATGAGGTCAGATTGCCGTCGAAGGTTGTGCTCGACCTCCGAAGGTGAAGCCTCAACAGTGACGTCCTCGTCGCTGCTCTCGTAGGCCATGATGTTACCTGGATTGCCGAACGTCCAGTCGAAGAAAGAAAAGGGCTGGTTTCCCAGCGTTCCGTTCTCCACAGGCGCGAGCTCGATGGCTCCGAAAACGAACCTGCGGAGGTACTCGAGGTAGTGCGCGTGGGGCCCATGGCCGCGCGCCTCGATCTCGTCCAGAGTGTCCATGTTACGGACCCAAGTGAAAAGTACATGTTCCGCAGCCCCGAAGTCTTGGAGGCTCAGAAACTCAACGGCAGGTTCACTTGAGCCTAAATGGACTTCGGACGATCTACCCTTTCCATACCCTTTCACTGGACAGTCCTTCACAAGGTGATCGGTGCTATCACATTCATGGCACTTCAAGATCTGGCCGTCTCTGCCTCGCGGGTTCCCCCGCCTGCCTTTGCATTTGCCGGAGGTTCCCCTGCGGCCTTTTCCAAAGCCTTTTCCCCCGAAGAATATCTCATCATACTGATCATCCGAAAGCCTCTGGAGGAAAGCCGCGATGCCTCGTCCGTTCAACCTTCGGCGACCCCGTTTGCCTGTGCCTTTTCCTTTGAAGCTCCTCCGTGCCCTCCTCCTAACACGACGCACTGGTTTTCGTGTGAACCTCCTCCACCTACGCTTTGCTTGTTGTAATAACCAACATAGATGCTCGGCACGCTGATTATCACCTTCCATTTGCATGATATCTGACCAGTCTAGTGGGTCGATGCCATCTGATGATATCGCGTCGGCGTCGGTGCCTGCGTCGAAATCGTCGCTACCCAGGCAGGTGGCTACACAGTCGTTTAGGGGGTTCGCTTCTCCCCATAGAGAGCGGTGAGGCTGAGGTTCTCTAGGAGGAGGGCTCTTGCCCAGCTTGGTTGTGATCGATCCACTGCTAGTATGGCAGTAGATTCTCCGGGATCGTTGGCCCATATGTTTGAGGGCCCGTTGCCAGGCTGAGCTTCACTGTTTAAGGTGGTATAGAAATTTCCACTGCCAGTCCCCCTTCCCCTTCCAAACACTGATCCTACGTTGCCAGGATACCGTGTTGACAGATGGCCTATCGAGCGCATCCTCTCACACAGTTCGTCATGCTGTTGTTGTGTTCGGGGCATTTGGTGGTTGAGTGGTTGTGAGAGTTGCATGGCTCGCTGGTTACCAACGCCTAGGGCGCGGAATAGGATAGTCGTGGGCAGTTGGAAGTCGGGAAGGTCAAAGCCCACCGATTGTGCCTCAAGACGGGCCATTTCGAACCGAGTAAGGGTTACGTCGATTCGTTCTGCGTGAGGCACATGAAAGTCGACGAGCTGAGTGCCTGAGGTGAGCTGGCGCTCATCTTCCAGGCGTTCGAACTTCATGCTTAGGAAGAACATAATGTATGTTACTGGGTCGGTGTGGGCACCATCGATGTCCGCACCATAGTCTATGATGTCAGGTGGTACCCTCATGGCGAGTGTCCTCGCCAGGCCGCCCAGGCCGCGTTGTATGGCGGCTGCTTGGGCTTGTGGCGTCATGCGTCCACTCGTGACGTTAAGCCGCGCATTGACCTCGTAGACGTACTCGCGAAAAAGGGTACGTTGCCTTGGGGGTCCCAGCATGGGCCATGTGATTGCCCATCGGTGCTATTTATCTCCTCGGCGCATGTGTCCGATTGCCGCTCCCAGCGCAAACCAGATAATGGCGAAGATAACCAACCCTAAGCTGTGGAGGTATGGATGGTTATCGGGCGCGAGGCCGCGCTGGGGCAGAGCAAGTAGCGCCTTTTCAAGTCTACGAGGCGTTTTCTCTTGCGGGTCTCCCCGCCTACGCTTCAAGTACTGCGCTTTTGGTTCGTTGCCGAGCGGTTGGTAGTAGCGTAGTGATGAAGCGTGTATGGTACCAATGTTATTGTCAAGACGTCGTACTCTCGTGTTGCTTCTGGCTTTTGAATTGATCCTCGCAGATGTCGGTGGGGTGGTGGCGCAGTGTAGAGATTGGTCACGAAGATCGTGCCGGGTAGCGTGAGGATAAGAAGAACAAGGGCTGACTACACGAGAGTGCGGCCAGCTCCGCTACCAAGTCTGAAATGACTCTGGTAGGTCATATTGCGTCCAATTCCATGTCGAAGGAATACGATCTCGGGTGTGGATGAGTAAGATAGGACAATATCGATGTAATGATCTTTCCAGCGCCTAGCGAATACCAAGTCCGGTATCCGGGCAAATAGGGCGCGCGTGCCTTGAGCCATAAGACAGCGACGCGCAGGCTATACTCCCCATTATCTATAACATCTCCCAAAAAGCTACCCTTAAAATCGGCGCCTCTGCGCGGATTCCCTGGGTCGGCGCTAGGCGCCCCGCCCTGGCGCGGGGAGCGCGCCGGAAGCGGCGCGGGAGGCGCCGCCAGGGGAGGCAACTTGTGCAGTAAGGATGCTCGATAAAGGCTGCAAGGGCGTTGGAAACCAATCTCGAAGTTTTCGAGCGGGGATGCGCCGGTGGCGAAGTGGCCAGGGACGCGCCGAGGAGGCAAGGATGCAAGGGTATCCTTGGGAAGGTTGCCCGTTCTTACTATGCGGGTTGACTGTATCCACCCGGACCTCCGAGAATTGATCGATCCTCCCTCCAGAGGGCCACCCCTGCGAAAGGTCGCTCGGTTCTGGCGTCACTCGGGGGTTTCCGGCGGCTGGTCGGGACGATCTGGGCCCCCCTGGAACGCCCTCGGCGAGGGCGGGAAACCTCCCCGTCCTTCCCTCCGCTGCAATAAGAAAATACCCGACCTTCAGGAAGGCAGAGGAAAAGGGATGAGGAGGAGGAGGAGGAGGAGGAGGAGGAGGAGGAGGAGGAGGAGGAGGAGGAGGAGGAGGAGGAGGAGGAGGAGGGGGGAGGAGGCAAAATCCCACCAGCCCTCTGGGCGTAGGTGTTCTAGAGCAGATCCTCTTCCACCCCTCCCTCTTCCCCCTTGTGGAGGGGTTTACCCCTCCCCCTACCCCCTCCCCTGAACCTGGACGGAGGGTTTCGCGAGCGGTCGGACGGCTCTTTTGGCCCCAAGATGGCTTCAAGAGCACGTCAGAGAGCCCAAGATGAGCTCCAAGATGGCTCAAGATAGCGCAAGATCGCTCGAGATGGCTCCTAAGATGGTTCCAAGAGGCCCAAAGACGGCCCCAACACGGCTCCAAGTGGCCAAAGAGCTCCCCAAGGAGGCCAACATCGTCCCAAAACCTTAGGAAAATCACTGTTGTTTGCTTTCTCCCCGTTTCGCTTCCGATGCCAGAGCGCCCCAAGAGCGCCCCAAGAGGCGCCCAGACGGCCCCAAGAGGCGCCCAAGAGGCCTCCAAGAGGCTCCCAAGAGACCCTCAAGAAGCCTCAAGAAGGTCTCCGAAATGCATTTAAGACGCTTCTGGCTCTTCGGTTCGCCGTCCTCTTCAATTTCTCATCCCCCTCTTCCTCCTCCTCCTTCTCCTCCTTGTCCTCCTTCTCCTCCCTCTGCTCCTTCTCCTCCTTCTCGTCCTCCTCGTCCTCTCCCTACTCCACATCCTCCTCCTCATTCTCCTCCTCCTCCTCCTCCTCCTCCTCCCCCTCCTCCTCCTCCCTCCCCCTCCGACGAGGATTCCTTCTCCATCCTCCCCCTCTTGGGGTACGTGACAGCTTCCCCCGCCCTTTGCTATTCTGCATGCTCCCCGACTTCCCTGATCACCTCAACTCCCCTGGGCATCGTTTCTGGATGGGCTGGTGGGGATACGCGAAGCGTCAACAATTTGGCACTTCAAGCAAGTGCCCCCGCTCGCTCGGCGGGGCCGCAAGGGCACCAAGACACGGCGTAGACGGCGGCTACGGAGAAGAACACGCCTCCTGCCCGCATCCCGCGGCAGCGAACGACTGCGCTGGTTCCAGCCGGGTGGCGGGCACGGCTCCTGCTTGGCCTCCTGCAACCTCTGCTTCGAATCGTTACCCCTCCTCCTCCTCCTCCGTCCCCTCCTCCTCCTCCTCCTCCTCCTCCTCATCTCATCTCATCCTCATGCCTCTTGACCCCTCCTCATCCGTCGCCCTTATTCCTGCTCCTCCACCTCCTGCTACTCCTCCTCTTCCTCTTCTTCCTCCTCCCTCTTCATCCTCCATCTTCTCTATCTCCTCATGTTACTCCTCCTCTTTGCAGACCTGTTCCTTCTGCCTCCTCGTCGCATGCATGCCACGGGAGGGATATCTCTCCCCCTTCTGAATGAGAAACAAGGGGAGATCGCCGACACGGAATGAGGAGGACGAACATGAAGTACAGTAGGAGCTCGACCACAAGAAACCTTTCACAAGAAGCCTAGCCCTGAGACCCCACGACGTCCACTGATTTTTGGTGCGGGAACATCACGCTCTCCATAGCAAAACCATCGAAACCCAGGAAACCCAAGGCACCCTGGAGGCAAGGAGGGTGTTTCTCGGCATAGGTTTCCGCTGTACGAGAGGGGGGGGCGGAGCGAGGGGTTGATGGGCAGTCCTAATAACGGGGCCGTCCGACTGTCTAACACTACATTTACATGCTGGGGCTCGTTCACCAGAGGATGTCCAGACTACTGAGCCCTGCGCAGCTGCACTCTGACGAACTGAATTCTGGCGATACCGCTTGGCTTCTAAACCTCGCGCAAGACACACGAGTCCGCCTCAACATCAGAGCGATGGGCTTCCAAGGGCCCGTGAGATGAACGAATCTACTTCGAATGTGGCCTTCGCTCGGACATGCAATGCGTGCACGAATACGGTGACCCTGCAAATTCGCCGGCCCAACGGGCCAGAGGCGTGCTAAGATCTCCGGTAACTGGTTAACAATTTTCTAGTTCGCGCGCGCGGGGCGGCCCCTGGGGGTCCCCGGACGAAAAGTACCCCGACCAGGTCCCGGCCGGTCCCCGGCCGGGTCCCGGCCGGGTCCCGGCCGGGTCCCGGCCGGGTCCCGGCCGGGTCCCCCCGAGCGCTCCATGAGCGCACCAACAGGGCTCCGAGACGTCCCCGAGAGCCCCAAGAAAGGCCAAGAGGCCCCCAAGAGGCCCCCAAGATGGTACACGAGGGGTCCGACATGCCACAAGATCGCTCCAAGACGCCCAAGATAGCCCCCAGACGCCCCAAGAGGCCTCCAAGAGCACTCCCAATAGGGCCCCCGGAGGCAAAAATCATTGTTTTTCCATAGGTTTTTGAGAGATTTTGGAGCTTCCACCTTTTCGGCTTCCCGACGCCCCAAGACGGCCCAAGAGGCCCCCAAGATCGCCCCAAGAGGGCCCAAGAGGCACCCAAGAGGGCCCCAAGATGGCCCAAGAGGGCTCGAAGACGGCCCAAGAAGCCTCCAAAACGGTCCAAGAGGGCCCCAAGAACGCCCCCAAAGGGGCCCCAGAGAGGGAACACGAAACAACATTTCGAGCCCTCGGCCCTAAGAAGCCCCTACGAGGCCCCTAAGAGGCCCCAAGAGGCCCCCACGGGGCCCTCAGGAGGCCCCCAAGAGTCCCCCAAGCGGCCCCAGGAGGCCCCCCAAATGCCCCCCCGAGCGCCCCAGGAGTCCCCCAAGCGGCCCCAGGAACCCCCAAAGCGCCGCATTGACACCAGGCCCTCGGGCAAACGGCAGACATGAGACTGTATGGGCCGGCGGAATGAGCGAAGCGATAAAATAACAATGAATCATTGGGTCGACTTGGATTGATAACTTTTCGCCGTAATACTCAGAAAGATAATGATGATCCGTCACCCTTGTAATGATGGTATCCCTCTCCCTCTCCAGAACACGGGCGAGTCTTCGAACAAAAAGCTGAGGAGACCTGCTTTTGGGAGACACAGCGAGCAGCGATAAAAGGTACCATATTCTCAAACTCCTTGCGATAATCGTGAACACCTGCACTGCTTGATACCTCGTTCAAAACAAAAGAGCCGCCAGCGTGCCCTTGGGCACGGAGTGGGCGTGTCCTCCAAGCCGTTGCTCTATCCCTGTCCTCAATCTTGAATATTATCTGATGGCTCGGATCCCCAAGCTCCCAGGCGTTGTCGCGTCCACTTGTGCGGAGCGGCGCTCCACAAAATGGCCTCGAACCGAGGGGTTAGGATCGCCTCGCTCCCATGAGTAAAGTGGCGCTTCGCCAACTGGCATCAAACCAAAGAGTTCCGGCTGCTTCGATCCCATTAGGTGGGGTGCGCTCCGCTAGTGGGCTGAGACTCCTCAATCCTCCCCACTCTGCCAGTGCGCCTCCTCTTCGGCCTTCTCTTCCTCCTCCTCTCCTTTTTTTCGATATCCCTCAGGTGGCGCATTCGGGTACCACCTCAGGCATATTGCTTCTGGCCCGCATTTCAGGCCCCAAGGATCCACACCTGATAGGATCGATCTGATTCAATGGATACCACTTCGGTACCGCTCGCGTCCTCTGACCCAAAACTCGTGCCACGGAATTGCGAGAACCATCCGAAGCCTCTGACCCAAAACCCGGTGAGCCGATGGCCATTAGATACAGTTTCGCCACAAGACTACCCAATCCCCCCCTGGCCGGCCCCATTCTGTGGCGAAGATGGCGATGACCAGGATGACGAACATCGCGAGCACCTGGGATAATGGCGTCGCTCAGAGCGGGCAACGTCGGGCGCTGCCGAATTCCTCCTTCTTCTCCTCCCGACCCGACTCGCCCCTCCTTCGTCCCCGCTGCTCCCCTCACTCGCCCCCACTGCTCCTCTCCCCCAAGGCTCCGCTGCCCTTCCTCATCCCACCCACTGATCCTCTCCCCCTCATCGCTCCTCTCCCCTCCCCAATTATCATCTTCCTCTTTCTCCCTCGCTCATCCTCCTCCTTCTCCTCCTCCTCCTCCTCCTCCATGGCTTTCCTTATACGTGTTATCGAACGTGGGCCGCAGACAGTGTGCTTCTAGCAAGAAGTCTTGTGCAATACATGTGGCGCAATATATGCGGTGCAATTGATTTTAACAAACGAGTTGACACATCCCACGCTCTTGCAAACATCCCTAAATCCTTCTGGCACCGAAGGTTTTTGAAGGATTTCGGCATGCGCGCGCGACGACGCGCGCGTGTGCACTTCGTCCCATGTTTTGCAAGGGATTCGTGAAACAGTGTCATGTTAGAACAACAAATGTCACCGCATACTGTTTTTTACAAAGGAACCTCCGGGGGGGGATACCGGTTTGGCTGGGATGATGCGATTTCATATTTAGGATGGACGGCTGTGCAGAGAATATATATATATATGTGAAATTATACTATCCCAGGGGGAAGCGTTAAGTCCGGGGGGGTGTTAGAGTCTATTCTCTTTTTAGAAAGGCGAATCTATGTGGTACAAAGTGTGCTGTGCATTCTATGTTGTTCAATCTATGTTGACCAATCAACGTTGCGCAATCTATGTGGTGCAACTTACGTGGTTCAATCTATGTTGTGCAATCCACTCTGCTGAACTTGAAGTCGTCATCTCCACTGCTCGCGCAACATCCCACCCACCCATCAGACCGACTACGACGACACCGACGACAACGACGACGACGACACCGACGACGTCTCCGAGGACTTCGACGACGGCACCGTCGCTGACGCCGACGACGACGAAGACGACGACGCCAACGAAGACGACGACGAGGGATGAGGAAAGACGACGACGGCAACAACGACGACAACGACGACAACGACGAGGGAGGAGGGAGGACGGCGACGACGCGAACGACGAAGAAGGAGGAAGGACGGCGACGCCGACGACGACAACGATGAGGGAGGAGGGAAGACGACGACGACAACGACGACGACGACGACGGCGACGAAATAGGAGGGACGACGACGAGACGCCGACGACGGACGACGACGACGACGAGGGAGGAGGAGGAAGGACGACCACGGCGACAGCGACGACGGAAACGACCACGACGCCAAAGAGGACGACGACGACGAACACGAGGAAAGACAGAGGACGACGTAGGCGACGACAACGACGACGCGGGAGTAGGGAGGACGGCGACGACGACGACGACGCAAGAGCGCGCGCGCACGGTTTTGTTGAAAATCCGTGTTGCGAAACCTTGGGTTTTTGTATGTTTTTTTAGACACACGATTTTGAAATCCTTCCGAAACCGATGGGTTTTGAAGGTTTTCGGCATACGCGCGCGACGACGCGCGCGTCTGCACTTCGTCTCATTTTTTGCAGAGGATTCTCGCGACGGCACACGCGCAAGGGCGTCCGACAGATTTCGACATGCGCGCGCGCGAAGCCTGTTTAATAGGATGTTGTGAAAACCTTGAAAAACCGATGGTTTTCTTAAGATTTCGCAAGAGCTTTCGCGGAAGCTTTTTTAGCAAATCAGTGTTGCGAAACCCTGTGTTTTTGTATGTTTTTTTTTGGAGCTCGATTGCGAAATCTTTCCGGCACCGAAGGTTCTTGAAGGATTTCGGCATGCGCGCGCGACGACGCGCGCGTGTGCACTTCGTCCAGCTTTTTGCAAGGGATTCGTGACAATGTGTTATGCTAGAGCAACACATGTCACCGCATAGTGTTTTTTACAAGGGAACCTCCGGGGGGGGAGCCTGGTTTGGCTGGGATGGTACGATTTCATATTTAGGATGGACGAGTGTGCAGAATATGTATGAAATCATACTATCCCAGGGGGAGGCGATTAGTCCGGGGGGGGAGGGGGGTAGAATCTATTAGTCTTTCAGGAGGGAAAATCTATGTGGTGCGCACTATATGCGGTGTAGCCGACGTGATGACATCTACGTGATGCAACGTCGGTTGTGCAACCCACGTGGAGCTATGTGTAACGGGTAGCTATGTGTAGTGAATTATGCATGGCGCAATACAGGTTGCGCAAACATGTGGTGCAACACATGTTGTACAAAGCATGCAATGCTACTTCAGCGTGGCGCAATCTATGTGTGTAACTAATTTCTTTTCGCAGTGAATTGTCCACTCCACTGCTCGCGCAAACATCCCACCCACCCACCCGCAACTTGGTTTGCAAAATCTCTTAAGACCGTGACGGTGGGTACCACATGGCACTCGGCAACAACAGCGACGCCGACGACGACAGCGACAACGACGATGACGACGCCGCCGACAACGACTACGACGACACCGACGACGTCTCAGACGACTTCGACGACGCCGACAACGACGACGACGACGACACCGACGACGACGACGACACCGACGCCGACGACGACGACGATGACAACGACGACGATGACGACGCCGACGACGACGATAACGACGACACCGACGACGACGACGTCAACGACGCCGACGACGACGAAGACGACGACGACGACGGCCGCGACGACGACGACGCCGACGCCGACGTCGACGACGACGAAGACGACAACGACGCCGACGCCGACGAAAACGACGACGACGTCGCCAACGAAGACGACGAGGAAAGAGGGAGGACGACGACGGCGACAACGACGACAACGACGAGGGAGGAGGGAGGAAGGCGACGACGCGAACGACGAAGAAGGAGGAAGGACGGCGACACCGACGACGGCAACGACGAGGGAGGAGGGAAGACGACGACGACGACGACGACAACGACGACGACGACGACGACGGCGACGAAATAGGAGGGACGACGACGAGACGCCGACGACGGACGACGACGACGACGAGGGAGGAGGAGGAAGGACGACCACGGCGACAACGACGACGGAAACGACCACGACGCCAAAGAGGGCGACGACGACGAACACGAGGAAAGACAGAGGACGACGTAGGCGACGACGACGACGACAACGACGCGGGAGGAGGGAGGACGGCGACGACGACGACGACGCAAGAGCGCGCGCACGCTTTTGTTGAAAATCCGTGTTGCGAAACCGTGTGTTTTTGTAGGTTTTTTGGACACACGATTTTGAAATCCTTCCGAAACCGATGGGTTTTGAAGGTTTTCGGCATACGCGCACGACGACGCGCGCGCCTGCACTTCGTCCCATTTTTGCAAAGGATTCTCGCGACGGCACACGCGCAAGGGCGTCCGACAGATTTCGACGTGCGCGCGCGAAGCCCGTGCACTTCGTCCCATTTTTGCAAAGGATTCTCGCGACGGCACACGCGCAAGGGCGTCCGACAGATTTCGACGTGCGCGCGCGAAGCCCGTTTAATAGGATGTTGTGAAAACCTTGAAAAACCAATGGTTTTCTTAAGATTTCGCAAGAGCTTTCGCGGAAGCTTTTTTAGCAAATCAGTGTTGCGAAACCCTGTGTTTTTGTACGTTTTTTTGTTGGAACTCGATTGCGAAATCATTCCGGCACCGAAGGTTCTTGAAGGATTTCGGCATGCGCGCGCGACGACGCGCGCGTGTGCACTTCGTCCCGATTCGTGACACTGTGTTATGCTAGAGCAACAAATGTCACCGCATAGTGTTTTTTACAAGGGAATCTCAGGGGGGAAGCTCGGTTTGGCTGGGATGGTACGATTGCATATTTAGGATGGACGAGTGTGCAGAATCTATATATATATATATGTTTATATATATATATATGAAACCATACTATCCCAGGGGGAAGCGATAAGTCCGGGGGGGGGGAGGGGGGTAGAATCTATTAATATTTTAGAAAGGAGAATGTATGCGGTGCTATTGTTTTCTTTTATTAACAAACGAGTTGACACATCGTTTTGCAAACATCCCACCACCCACCCGCAGGGCAAGACCCATGCAGTAGCGATTGCGATGCATGCTTGGCGTTGGCTGGTGCATCTCTGCGGCCGCGCCAACCCAAGCACGCGCGCAGCGGCCAGCTAGTTTGGCGCGACCGACGCGAACGCGGTGGCGCTGACCGCTCGGCACTGCGCGCGAAGCCCGTCTGGTAGCATGTTATGAAACTGCTGAAGATAAACTATGATTTTCTACCAAATGCGCAAGAACGCGCGCCCAAGTTTTTTTTTGACGTCCGTGTTGCGAAACCCTGTGTTCTTTTATATGTGTATTTGGACACTCGATTTTGAAATCCTTACGACACCGAAGGTTTGGAAGGATTTCAGCATGCGCGCGCGACGACGCGCGCCTGTGCACTTCGTCTCACTATTGTGCAACAGGGCTCTTGAACACTTATGATTTGTGATAAATTAGTGTGCGCGCATCGTATGTTTTACATACCTGGGGGTCGATACCGGCCTGGCTGGGATGATACGACTTCATACTTAGGATAGACGGCGGGGCACAATCATATGTACATTGCAATGCGAAAAAGGGTGTCGGTAATCCCGGCGGGAACAATCCGCCGACCCATTGGGGTTCATCGGCGTGTGAGATACCCCCTTCGCCCCACACCCCTCCCACGGGAGCCTGGTCCGGTCGATTTGGAGGAGGGGGGAATCTATCCGGGTCGGCTGGGGGTCTATCCGGGCCGGCCAGGGGGGTACTTTGCTGGGGAAATTCTGCGGGGAGGTCATCGAGGTTCTCAAAACGGGCCACAAGGGTCCCAAGAGACCTCCAAGACGGTCCAAGAGGTCCCCGAGTCGTCGAAACATCGTCCCAAGACGCCCAAGCTGGCCTCCAGACGGCCCAAGATGCCCCCAAGACGCCCAAAGAGGCTTCTAAGAGGCCTCCCAAGACGGCCCCA